CTTTTCCCGTCAGTACAACATGAACATACAAAGCTGCCTTATACTGCATCAGACCATCGGTCCTCAAAGTCAGTATTCTCTGCTCAGATCGTCAGCAGCTCTGCAGAGTCTCAGGCTGAGGTCTTTCACATCACCTCCCGCCTGGTCCTTTTAACTGGAGGTGCCAGAGATTGAACCTGGGACCTTAATAGGATTGCCAGCCTCCAGGTGGGGCCTGGGGATCTCCTGCTTTTACAACTAATCTCCAGCTGACAGAGATCAGCTCCCCTGGAGAAAACGGCTGCTTTGAGGGGTGGACTCTATGACAAAGTACCATGCTGAGGCCCCTCCTCTTCCCAAACCCCTCCCTCTCCTGGATCCACCCAAAAAGTCTCCGGTGTAATGTATTAACATAGCTTACTTGAATTGCCACATTCACTCCCTATGTTAAGCTTCGAGCCGGACGAAGGCTCCTCAGAACGGACTCACTATTGGTCGCTCTGTAACAGCGACCAATCAGAACTATGCAAAGTCCCTGAGAGGGAAGAACTTTCATTGGTTCTTATCTGCACAACCTCATTGGTTGTTAATTGTAAATAGGCGTGGCTACATTAGCCCGGGAACGTTTAAAAGGAGCCAAGCTCCCAATGTTAATCTGTTCTGGTTATGACTGAATTCAAGCGCTTGTTCGTATCTTTAATAAAGCTGATCACTTTGGTTGAAATCACTCTCCGGGTCTTTGTTAGCGGCGATCTAACATCCAGGTATTTTCCAACCCAGACCTGGCAACCCTAGACCTCAGGCAGATGCTCTGCCAGTGAGCCACAGCCCCAAGCTGAATCATTCTGCATGCTTCCCAAAGATCCACAAAGCACTCCCGAGCCACACGTACACTCACGGAAGTGAGACACATCTCAGAATTATGAAAAATGAAATTTCCATTTGCTCTAGAAGTTGTTTGGAATTTGCATGATCCTCCCCCCATCCAAGGCAGTCTGATCCAGGCAGATGAGTTCTTGCAGCTGTGTGTGTGTGTGTGGTTTTTTAAAAGAATTATTATTACTGTGCCTGGATAATAGTTATCGTTCTGCCAACTGTCATGGCAACTGATTGCGGCACTTGTCGATAATGACACTGACTAAGATTTTGATTAATGAACCAAACTTAGGCCTCCCTCTGCAATTGACCGCCTCCCACCTAGGACTTCTGTTCCTGCAAAGGATCCTCTCTGGGTCAGGTGTCCAACAAAAAGGAACGAACTGGAAAAAGCCTCATTTTACAAACTGCAGACAAATATCCATGATTTGTTTTCATACATCTGGTAGGGATGTCTTGGGTATGATGGCAGATCCTGCCATGACACAGGTTAGGGTTAGTTTATCAGCCACGAAGATAATTTCCTGGTCATGTATACATACACCCAATCTATATTCATTGCACATCATATTCAATTGAATTGCTAGTAGTAACTCAGGAACATCGGCATCCGGAGTAAACCCAGCTTTCCCCCAATGGAGAACCAAAAACAGCTTGCAATACAAACAGAAGAGGAGGAGGAGGAGGAGGAGGAGGAGGAGGAGGAGGAGATTGAATTTATACCTTGCCCTTCAGAGCGGCTTACAATCTCTTTTCCCTTCCCGTCTCTACAACAGACACCCTGTGAGCAATGTTCCCTCTAAGCAGTGGAGTCTTGTGAGCAAAAAAACCTACTGGCATTAAAGCTGTGAGTGTGCAATTTGGCTACTGCATAAATTAATTTGCTCTGGAACTCTCTTTCCTGAGCTGAGACAAAAATGTGTGAGCCAGAAGCTAAAAAACTGTGAGCTAGCTCACACTAAATCAGCTTAGAGGGAACATTGCCTGTGAGGTAGGTGGGGCTGAGAGAGCTCTTTCAAGAACTGCCCTTGAGAGAACAGCTCTGAGAGAACTTGTGACTGACCAAAGGTCACACCAGCAGCTGCATGTGGAGGAGTGGGGAATCAAACCTGGTTCTCCCAGATTAGAGTCCACACTTTTAACCACTACTTACTTAACCGCTTGAACAGTGACTAATAATCTACACTCTGTAAACTGCTCCTTGCTTTTACACAATGTTTTCACTCCTACAGCCCATAGAAGGTGAGCATGAGGAGGAGAAAGCGGAGGCAGTGGATACTGAGTATTTATGGTCTCATAATAGATGCCAGATACCCGAGGACTTCATAAGAGATGCCGGAGCACAGGGAGGTGAATCTCCATATGCTGCCTGCTAATTTTAAGTGCGGTATTCTCTTGCTGGTCCTTGTTGGTGATTTGTGTATATTGTGTTGGCAGCTGCGGTGAGAGAGAACTGCTGCTAGTCAGAGCACACAATACGGATCAGAGGCCGCCTACCCACTAGGCAGTACTAGGCGACCACCTATAACATCAGTGGTGATGGGGCATTCATTGAGTGTGTGACCTGGGACTCATCCTAAAAATAGGTTGTGGGGGAGGCAAATAATCTCCTGAACAATGTTCCCTCTAAGCAGAGTTAGTATGAGCTAGCTCACAGTTAGTGTGAGCTAGCTCGCACATTTTTGTCTCCGCTCAGGAAGGATGGCTCCAGAGCAAATTAATTTATGCGGTAGCCAAATTGCTCGCTCACAACTTTAATGCCAGTAGCTCGCAAAGTAGAATTTTTGCTCACGAGACTCCACCGCTCAGAGGGCGCATTGCTCCTGAGTGCAGGGTGGCAGTCCTGTCTACCTCTCCTCCAGTGCCCACTCACAGCATCAGGGTTTGCCTCTCTCCTTCCCTCTGTTGGGGGGAGGGGCAGGGCATCCCCAGTCCTCTTCCTACTTATCTCCACCACACCTCACCTGATGGGGGGAGAACCGGGTTTGATTCCCCACTCCTCCACTTGCAGCTGCTGGATGACCTTGGGCAAGCCATCGTTCTGTCAGAGCTGTTCTCTTACGAGCAGTCCTCAAAAGAGCTCTCTCAGCCCCACCTACCTCACAGCAATGTTCCCTTTAAGCTGGGGAGTCTTGTGAGCAAAAATCTTACTTTGTGAGCTACTGGCATTAAAGTTGTGAGCGAGCGATTTGGCTACTGCATAAATTAGTTTGCTTTGGAGCCCATCCTTCCTGAGCAAAGACAAAAAATGTGTGAGCCGGAGGCTAAGAAACTGTGAGCTGGCTCACACTAACTCAGCTTAGAGGGAACACTGCCTCACAGGGTGTCTGTTGTGGGGAAGAGAAGGAGATGTAAGCCACTCTGAGGCTCCAAGTGAAAGGCAGGTTATAAATCCAATCTCTTCTTCTTTTTCTTCTGAATAAGATAGGTGCCAAGGTCATAGTTTTTCTAGGGTGTCAAAAAACCTTGGGCCATACAAGGTAAATTCAGTGTTCCCTCTAAGCTGAGTTAGTGTGAGCCAGATCACCGTTTTTTAGCCTCTGGCTCACACATTTTTGTCCTAGCTCAGGAAGGATGGCTCCAGTGCAAACTAATTTATGCAGTAGCCAAATTGCTTGCTCACAACGTTAATGCAAGTAGCTCGCAAAGTAGAATTTTTGCTTGCAAGACTCCACAGCTTAGAGGGAGCATTGGTCACCATACTAAGAAGGTTGGGGACTGCTAGCTTAGAGCACCCAAAACCCTTGGCCTGGCCTTGATATTGATCTTAATGGACCAATTGTCTGAAAATTCATGATCTTCTGTTTTACTGTGATTCGCTTAACGAGGCAAGAGATAGTCGGATAAAGCCTTATATCCAGGACTCTTAGGTGTGAACTGGATAATTTGAGGTTTCTTTTAGCAAGAGTGGATTTTAATATTACATTTGGCAGTTGCCAAGTTCTTTTCCCAGTCGATTAAGATTAAAAATTATTAAATGTGTACATTATGCAGACAGATGTATTAAATAAATTTCCTTCTTTTTTTAGTCTTAGTGTGACACTTTTCAGAGCTGAATTGGCTGTAAGAGCAGTATCATTAAAAGTAAAGTAATTAGCAGTGGTGGTGGCCGTTATTGTAGAGAGTTCAAGGCCGTGTGAAAAAATGTTCAGTGCATATGACATGCAAACTCGGCCCACTATTGCCTCCGGTAAACCAGTTCCGCAGATTTTTATAGAGTTCCCGAAATCTGAAAAACCTGCTTCAACATAGATGACCATGGGACACAATATATAAATACAGTATGTCCACAACAGGTAACAATACCGCAGCTCTACCCTTTCTGCTCCCTTAAAAACTATCATCCATCTCCAGCTTCCCAAGGCATGAATCCAACAGCATGATGTGCTTGACATTTTTAAAGAAGTTGAAAATTTTCCTTAACAGAAGCCAGGCCTTGGAGAGGAAATAGCTGCTATAAATACAAATGCAACTGACAATGCAAAATGAATGCCTTTTATGGGGGGGAAAACAGAGATGGATGCTACTTCTCTGCATGGCTCCACGAAATATATCAGAACGTTCACCCTTCCACATCTTGTTTTCAGTTAAGAATACAAAAGGGGGGGAAGCTACAAGGAGTGAGAGTATAACGATTATTAATACTGTGCAAATAATTAAGATAGAAAACCATTATAAGTGTTATTGACCTGGAGACTGTCAGGGGGAAATTGAAATGTAGGAAATGTCTAGCAGGGCTGGAAGTGCAAAGAAAACAACCTTTCTTGCCGATGAGTGTGTTCTTTTTTGAAAGGCGGTGTCAGATTTCTAACAGCCACATATGCCTCCACAGTTCCACACATGAGACAATCTGTCCCAAAGAGGTAACTCCAACCCTTCTGGCAATCAAAGCATCAATACTGCACTCGCTCCACCAGTCTGCATCCCTTTCCCTTGAGGCCGCCACCAAGGCGTGCCCCAATTCCTGTGCCAATCTTTCTCTCTTACACAAGCTGTAGCTGAGGCCGTGTATCATCTGATAAGAGCTATGCATATGAGTCTAAGCCAAGCCTTGTTTTTCCACAAGTGGTGACGACGATATTCTAAGGATGGGACAATGAGGGGATAGACGGTCACACACAAAGCGTAACTCCAACCCTTCTGGCAATCAAAGCATCAATACTGCACTCGCTCCACCAGTCTGCATCCCTTTCCCTTGAGGCCGCCACCAAGGCGTGCCCCAATTCCTGTGCCAATCTTTCTCTCTTACACAAGCTGTAGCTGAGGCCGGGTATCATCTGATAAGAGCTATGCATATGGGTCTAAGCCAAGCCTTGTTTGTCCACAAGTGGTGACGACGATATCCTAAGGATGGGACAATGAGGGGATAGACGGTCATACACAAAGCATGTAGCCCCCCCGATCATTGGGTGAAGCCTAGTGTCCTTTGCTCTACGACATCTTCGGTGATAAATGTCAATCTTGAATATCAGTGTAGAACTCCACAAAATGCTGGTCTAAGGTGCACAACGATTTCAGTTTCAGGTGAGTCTCTCGGTTCACTAGTCCCCTCTGTTATCTTGTACGCCAGCTGGAGAGGCGAACATTCGGAAACTTCTAGAAGGAACAAGAGTAATCTTTTCCTCTTGAGTCAAGATGCAGGTGTAGCAGATTCACACCTAAGCCTCTGGACAGATTATGATGCGGGATGCGTACCTGTCACTTCACTTGTACGTATACGTTCAGCGGCTGAATGATGCGGGCAAAACCTAATCCATATGATTTCCCCAAAGACCCCACTTCTGCATTATCTCCCAGAGACACTGGGTAAACACTCCCCTCCCTGTCCTACACACATGATTCTGTTAACTCATACTTGTCATTGGGATGCTGACTTTTTCCTCCCCAAAATGTTCCAGTTCGGGCAGTCTGTTTGGATCTACTAATCTATCCACTCTGCAACTTTCTTTGCGAGAGTTACGGCTACTCGTATAATGTCGAATGCTTGGCAGATTACTGCCGCAATCAGTACAAGGAGAGCACAGGGCGAACTGCAAAGGTGAGGATGATCAGATTCCCTCTCCCCCTTTTTTTCTGGAAGGTAAGACATCTCTTATGTCTTCTTTGCAACCTGTGCACCGACTCCAGTTTTCTTTACAGTACTTGAGCTTGGCTGTTGTGTCTTGGGTTTGGGCACTGCCGGCTTCCTCAGTTTCGGACCGCTGGTTTGAAGGGATTTCAGTCCCAGCAACTCACAGTATTTATTACACTGGTGGAGAACCTTAAACTGATCGATAAAAGAGATGGAGCAGTTGCCTTTGAAACCTTTGTACCTGCAGAAGAACAGAAGGACAGAAACAACTGTTTGGTTGACAAGACAAAATGTTGGGGTTTTTTTGACGTGGAGATGCATCTGAAACAAGGGCCTGTACACATTTCCCCAATGGGACTTGCAGGACAGTTTTGGCTTGGGAAAATGGCATGGAAGACCTCTTCTCCATGCCTACCAGTTACAATAACAGTTTGGGCATTGCACACGGAGGAAACTTACAATTTATACCTGCAACGTACAACTTGTACTTGAAGAACCACCAATTTTCACATGAACCTATCTTATCACTACTATCATCTTTGGAGGCCTTGTTCCCAGTGCCTCAGCTTTCTGAGATGAGTTGCAACCTAAGAAAGGGTCTTTTTGGTCGTGGCACCAAAATCATGTAATTCCCTCCCCAGGGAGATTAATCTGTCCCTTTCTATCATGGTCTTCAACCAGCGAGGTAAAGACTTTTGTTTTGTCCAGTGTCCCCTCCCCTAATTCTCACTGACCCTTTCTCCCATTCATGGTTTTATGTCTTTATGATTTGTTTTCATTGCTTTTAATTCTTAGATACGTATTTATTATAACTATCCTTCAAAAAATCCTGGGAAAATGGGAGGAATGGTATACTACCTTTCTACAAGCAGATGTTGAATCTAGAACTTTGGAAAGAGTTGCCAGATTCTACAGAGGTAGCATGCTGATTTAGTGACACATATCTGCTATTTTTATACTTCTTGATGTAAGGTTGTACATCTAATCTTATATCTCTTATACCAGTGCATGTTTTGAGAGCCAGTTTGGTGCAGTGGTTAAGTGTATGGACTCTAATCTGGGAGAACCGGGTTTGATTCCCCACTCCTCCACTTGCAGCTGCTGGATGACCTTGGGCAAGCCACATGTCTGACAGAGCTGTCCTTGAAAGGGCAGTTCTTGAAAGAGCTCTCTCAGCCCCACCTACCTCATAGGGTGTCTGTTGTGGGGCACCAAGAAGACAGAGCATCACTTGCCCCAGAGCCCCTAGCTATACCTTGTGGCTAATAGCCACTGATGGACCTCTGCTCCATATGCCTATCTAATTCCCTTTTGAAGCCGTCCATGCTTGTAGCCGCCACCACGGGAAAGTGTTCCAACCCTTTTATCATTCGAGTTGCTCTTTTCTGCACTTTTTCCAAAGCTATAATATCCTTTTTAAGGTGTGGTGACCAGAATTGCACACAGTATTCCAGATGAGGTCGCACCATTGATTTATATAGCGGCATTATGATATTGGCTGATCTGTTTACAATACCCTTCCTAATAATCCCCAGCATAGCATTGGCCTTCTTTATTGCAGTCACACACTGTCTCGACATTTTCAGTGAGTTATCTACTACAACTCCAAGATCTCTCTCTTGATCTGTCTCTGCCAGTTCAGACCCCATCAACGTGTATTTATAGTTAGGATTTTTGGCTCCAATGTGCATCACCTTGCACTTGGCCACATTGAACCCCATTTGCCATGTTGACGCCCACTCGCCCAACTTTGACAGATCCCTTTGGAGTGCCTCACAATCCTCACTGGTTTTCACCACCCTGAACAACTTCGTATCATCCGCAAATTTAGCCACTTCACTGCTTACTCCCAACTCCAAATCATTAATGAACAAGTTAAAAAGCAGTGGACCAAGTACTGATCCCTGTGGTACCCCACTGCTTACACCCCTCCACTGGGAGAACTGCCCATTTATACTCACTCTCTGTTTTCTATTAATTAGCCAGTTTTTGATCCATAAAAGGACTTGTCCTTTTATCCCATGATTTTTGAGCTTGCTTAGGAGCCTTTGATGAGGAACTTTATCAAAAGCTTTCTGGAAGTCAAGGTAAACAATATCTATTGGATCCCCCTTGTCCACATGTTTGTTCACCCCCTCAAAGAACATTAACAGGTTAGTGAGACAAGATCTTCCCTTACAGAACCCATGTTGAGTCTGCCTCAATAGGTTTTGTTCATCTATGTGCCTACTAATTCTTTCCTTAATAATGGTTTCCACCAATTTACCCGGTATCGACGTCAGACTGACTGGCCTGTAATTTCCTGGAGCTCCTCTGGAACCCTTTTTAAAGATGGGAGTGACATTAGCTACTTTCCAGTCCTCAGGAATGGAGGCAGAGAGATTACATATTTTTGTCAGGAGATCCACAAGTTCACAATTGAGTTCTTTCAGAACTCTTGGATGTATGCCATCTGGGCCTGGTGATTTATCAGTTTTTAAGTTGTTTATCAGTTTTAGGACCTCCTCTCTCGTCACCTCAATCTGACTCAGGTCTTTCAACACCCCTCCCGAACTCAGCGGCTCTGGAGTGGGCAAGCACCTCTCATCTTCCACAGTGAAGACGGAGGCAAAAAATGCATTTAGCTTCTCAGCCATTTCCCTATCATCCTTCAGTACTCCTTTTACCCCTTGGTCATTCAAGGGCCCCACTGCCTCCCTGGCTGGTTTCCTGCTTCTAATGTATTTGAAGAAAGTTTTATTGTTGGTCTTTACGTTTTTTGCTATATGCTCCTCATATTCCCTTTTTGCCTGCCTGACCACAGACTTGCATTTTATTTGCCATAGCCTGTGTTCTGTTTTATCAGCCTGTGACTAGCTTTCCATTGTTTTATTCTAGTCACATTGCCGTGTTTTATTATTTGATGATTCTTCGGAGCTGATCTTGTATAGAAATAAATTTTCATAATCATAATCTCATCATCTTGGGGACCCTAAATTGGATGGAAAGTTGGCTTTGAAACGTTTTAAATAAAGAAAAGAAAAATAATGCTGGCCATTACACAGGGCACATGGGGTGGGGGATCTCAGCTTTCTTCACCCAACCATCTCTCTTTTATCTGCAGCAAAAACCAACAGCGAAGCTCAGTTCCCAAGAAAATGAAGCAGTATTTACAGTGCAATGCTAAGCAGAGATGCACTTTTCGAAGGTCACTGAAGTCGGTGGCCATAGAAAGGTGTAACTCTACTTAGAACCATAGAATGTTAAGAGTTGGAAGGGACCTTGCAGGGTCATCTAGTCCAACCCCCTGCACTCTCCAGGAGCATAGCCGAAACATAGCCCCACAACATACCCGAAAGGTGGTCGTCCAGCCTCCGCTTGAAAACGTCCAGATTACACTGGTAGTTAAGGAAATCAAAATAGATGCTATGTTTTTAAATATGTGTCAGATAGGAAGGAAAAGGAGGTCATGGAATTAATAGGAGCATGAAATAACTAAGGGCCAGTCCAGAGGAGACAGTAGAAAACCATCCAGCATGTTTCCACCTTTATAAAAAGAAGCTCCAGGCCTTTTTTTTGTGTAGAAAAAGCCCAGCAGGAACTCATTAGCATATTAGGCCACACCACCCACAATGCCGCTCATTAGCATATTAGGTCAGAACCCATGCCTTCCTTTGGCTTGCCTGGGCGCCTCATGGCTGCGTAGAGCCCGGACAAGCCGGCCCTTGGACAGGCTGGGGAAGGCACGGGGAGGGATTTAAATGCCTCCCCGATCCTTCCAGGGCCCCCTGGCTGGCCCGCCGCAGAGTCGCTGTGGGGGTCGCTCTCCAGGCCTTCCCTCTGTAGCCATGCATGCAGAGGTTTTGGCTGTAGTGGGCGTGGCCAACTCTGAAGCCAGACAGAACTCCGTTCCTGTGCGTTCCTGCCCCAAAATAGCCCTGAGAAGCTCCATGTCATTTTCCCGGCCTTTTGAGCTGATATTGGCCCCCTTGAGTGAAACAGACTGGGGAAAATACACATGAGGTTGTGACCAAGCCCTACGAGGAAAGGCTGAAGGACCTGGGAATGTTCAGTCCGGAGAACAGGAGGCTGGGGGGGGGACATGATTGCTCTCTTGAAGTATTTGAAGGGCTGTCACTTGGAGGAGGGCAAGGAGCTGTTCTTGTTGGCAGCAGAGGTTAGGACTCACAATAATGGGCATAAATTACAAGTGGAAAGGCACCAGCTGGATATGGGGGGGGGGATTACAGTAAGAGTAGTTTAGCTGCGGAATCAGCTGCCTAGGGAGATAGTGAGCTCCCCTCAACGGCAGTCTTCAAGCAGCGGCTGGACGAACACTTCTCAGGAACGCTTTAGGCTGATCCTGCATTGAACAGGGGTTGGACTAGATGGCCTGTATGGCTCCTTCCAGCTCTTCGATTCTATGAATCCAGGCTTGACTTATGTGGCTCCAATATTTTTCCGCAATGAGTTGGGTTTTTTTTAAAAAATCCAGATTATTGGGGGAAATTCAAGGCTTCTGTGAGGTGTGTGTGTGTGTGTGAGCATCTCCCCACGGCTGCTTTTTGCAAGGAAAATACACATCCAAAGATCTGATCACAAATCCTCTTCTCGACTGTCTTCAAGATCAGCCTCTGTCGTCTTCTTTTGTCAGCTACCTCATTCATCCTCCTAGATAATCAAATGAAGCAATATGAAGGGATCCATACTTCATGACTGAAGTCCCCCGCCTCCAGCCAAAATTACTGGCTGTGTGCATGGTGTCAACAGCTGTACAGAATCCTCGTCTCGTTTCTGCCAGACAGCCTCTCTGCCTCGTTTTGTTAAAAATGCTGACAGCTTTTTCCAAAACAAGCCTCCATTGCTCTACAGAGGGACAGTGCTATCATTCTGAATACTCTGTGCAGAAATTCTCGCCCAGTAGATCAGCCAAGGACATAGCAGCCAAAAACACGCACGCAGAGAGAGACCCAATTCCAACAGCCGGCCTCTTTAAACTTTTTTATTTCAAGCTATGAAGCAGTGTGTGATTCTGCATTTCTTCCACTCTGCTTCTGCCAGAAGCAGACTAATGGGAAAGGCTGCAGTATCAGGCACTGCTTTCGGAGCACCGATAATATCAGGTGATAAAAAAGCCACACTCCTGATGCCGGATCGTGATGGAACATGCAATTCCACTTTGGAATTGGAAATGGCCCTTTGATGAATCACACAAATCCGAATGTTTTTCGAAGGACCATTCTGGGCAATTTGTTTTGGTGG